CAAATTTCAGGTTTTTTTTTTTTTTTTTTTTTTTTTGCAAATAATTAGTTTGGGGGTCACCAAGAAAACGAAATCTCATTCCCATCCGGGTTTTGAGAATGAAAAGAACATGCTTGGGGGTCATTTGGGTGAGAAAGCAGCAGAGGATCTAAAACAGAGAATTATTGAGCATGTAATTGGCTTGTGCACATCCAGTTATATGGCATATTATTTTTCAAGATTTTATGATTTTAGATATTCAAATTAATTTAGTTGACATATATGCTTTCAGAACATATCTGTCGTGTCAAAATATTATTCTAGGATCACATTGAAGAGACTTGCAGAGCTGCTGTGTCTCACTCTCCAGGTTTGTTACCCACATACCTCTTAAGTTTTTTTTGGTAGATTCAATTCCTTTAATTTTGTAGATTTTCTTTCATTTATCGAAAAGGTGTCTTCAGGTTCTGTATTCTCATCTTATACATTCATCTTGAGGTCATTTTGGTAAATATACTTCAGTGTGAAGGGATCTTTTCCGAGGTGTCCTTTTGGCTGTATATACTTCATTGGTAAATATACTTCATCGGGTACATGAAAAAAAAAAGATAGACTTGTGGTGTAGGTTGTGAAGGAGAAAAGTCCCAATAGGCTATATGTTCTATGTAAAGAAGAAAAGGATTCAATCTTGATGTAGGGGAAATAGAAGGATTTCAAAGATAGAGTGGTGAAATAGAGAAAAAACTCCATCAATACCAACACCCGTTTGTTGACATCACATAAGCTTTTTTATATTGGCAACTGGTAAACTTCTATTGATGATAGTGAAATATGTAAATAGGGTCATATAAGCACAAGGATACAGATAGCACCACTTTTAAATGGGTAGATTGGGTTCATTATTTGAAATATTTTACATTTTTTTATCTATTAAATCCAGACCAATCATCCTAATGTGCTACAATCTGATTACATTTAACTCTGTGATGCCATAGAGGTTTCAATTTGATTTGGTTAATTTTCTAGATGCATAATTCATTTATTGTTATGAGAATGCTGAATTAGGATGCCTCCTTGAATGTCTTGTTTTTTATACTTTCTTTAATAATTTTTATGTTTTTGATTTACAGGTTCATCAATTATGCTAAGTGGATTTGCTTTTGAAGATGTGAACCTTATTCGATAAATTGAATTTTTTAAAGTTCTTGTATTTTTATATGTACTGTATATTGTATGTGAACAGTTTGATTTGGATATTAATTAATTTTTAAATTAATATATTTTGTTTTAAATTGCATTTTTTTATTTAAATTTCTTAACTTAACTTTTCATGTATCAATTATCATGAATTATTTGTTAAGTATGTATTAAAGTGATGAATTAATAAAAAAGTGTATGTACCAACAAATATGGGAATTAACCTGGCATAAACATTAAAAAAAATGTATGTACCAACAAATATCAAGTATGTATTTAAGTTGGCGGTCATGAAACTACTAGATTAGCCATAAACAAGACCTAAGGCGGCAGTCATTTGGACCTAAGCCGGCAGTCTGAACCGCCGCCTAAGGAAGCAAATGATGTTGGATTAAACCAAAGGTGGCGGCCAATTAGGATCAAAGCCGGCGGTCTGAACCACTGCCTAAGGAACCAAACAATTTTTGACAAAACCTAAGTCCGTGGTCAAAAACGTTGCCTTTAATAACACTAAGCCAGCAGTCTGTTAGGACCGCCGCGTTAAAATGAAATTTGGACCACCCTGGACCGGCCACCAGAAGTGGCGGTCTTGATCTGGCCCGACAGCTACTTAGACGGCAGACCAATGACCGCCGCCTTAAACCTAAGCCGACGGCCAAAAGGTCTAAGCCAGCGGTCACATGACCATCAGCTTAAACTATTTTTTTTTGTACTGTCTAAATACTCCCTAACTTAAGTATCAGAGTGTCTATGTTGAGTACAGACAACCCGGGCACTAACTCTTCCTCTTGCAGAATAGAACCAATTCGGCCTAGCACAACTTGGCCCGACAAATGTTATCCGAATCAGATTCTGAGTCATCTGATACGCAAGAAGAGCCAGATCATGCGATATCAATAGCCATCTAGGTTATTTTTCTCACCTCATGCGCATCACAAAATTTATTGAAAACACATCCGTACTTGTCATTGGGAAATGTTGTGATACATGATTGAGATGTCCTGTCAAGTGTTGTGGGGTGCTGATGTCGATACTTGTACCTAATGAGTAGAGGCGAGACGGGATTGGCTACCCACAGAGCACACCTCATAGGCGTCCCACCACCCATCCCCTCCATGCATTGGGAATATCTCCCCATCACAAGCAGAGGAAATGTGGATGGGTGGTGAGGCGCACTCCATGGCAGTTGAGGCAGTGACCAAACCTGCCAAAGTCTCCCTTGGATGTTGTACGGCCCGAAAATTCAACCCAGTTCACTGACCAACAAACAATTAGCCCGAAAACATTTTGTAACTGTAAACTGTAGCTTGGACCTAAAATCCGCCATTGCGTTGAAACTTTAAAGATATTCCAGTCGTGATCATGCCTCCGCTCAATTCGATAAGGTCAAAGAAAGGAACTTTTAGAACTGAGAGACCTATTATTCTATGTCAAACAACTCATCAGCAATTGAGAGCTTACGGTTTGATAGATAAGATTAATTCTTCTATTAGGAGGAGCTTTGCATCGAGATCACATCATTTCTTAAAACAATTGTGTATGCCATTTTAAGGTCGATTAAATTCTGATAACTCTAAACATAAAAATATTATCTAATTATACACAAATTTTGTAAATAATGTCTAAGAACTATCTAATATTTTATAATATATTAAAGAAAAATGAGTGTGATAAATAATAGTTGCTTTATTGATATTGGAAATATAATATAAAATTTAAAATCAATCCAAAAATGAAATTGTTTTCTTGGTGGCGGGTTAATAGTTCAACCTTTTGTATAATATGTGCAAATCATTGATCTCATAATTAATAAAAATTTAATAAAAGATAGAAATACAAAAAATATTAAAAGATAGAAAATTTGTAAAAAAAATATTTGACACATCTTTAATATTTTATATTAATTGTATTAACAATTAGACACGACAAATAAGAATTATTTCTAACTTTTATTTATTATGTAAATAAAATACAAAATCAAAAGTAACCCAAAAGTGATATTGTATTTGGTGGGAGATCAACAATTCAACATTTCAGGTTAAATGTGTGAACCTATGAAGCTATAATTAAATAATAAAAATTAAAAAAAGATAGAAATGAAAAATATACACAGGTAATATATAAATTATGTAAAAAGCATTTAGGCATATCTCTAATATTTTATTTTAATGAACCATATTAAAGAAAAATAAGTGTGACAAATAAGACTAATTTTTATACACATAGAAATACAAAAAAATGTAGAAAATTTTGGAAAAACATATTATATAAGGTTTTTAAAACTGACCCGAACAATGAACCAGTCAGAGGTCTGGTTCCCAGGTCAACGGTCGGCCCGTTTTGGTAAAAAAATAAAAAAATGGTTCAACCACTTGGGTCAGCGATTTGCTAACCAAATCAATGTTTTTTTTTTTTTTTTTGGAAAAAATCCAGTTTTGGGGAAAAACGGAATTGGTCACCTGACCAATTCCCGGTTTTTCCGGTCCAGTCCGGTTCTGAAAATAAAATCTATGTCATCATCAAAATTTATCACATTCAAAGCACATGCACACTTACTAGTTAGTTCAAAGGGAAAATTTGCTAACCTCCCATGAAGTTTAGTAATTGCAATCACCTTCATTGAACTTTCTAAATATTCAACGAGCTCGAGTTCGACTCAAAATCTTGAAAATAAATATATTTATATATTATATTATATTGTATATATGATATTTTTTATAATATAATATGTTTTATAATATATACGTGCATACCCATTTATGTGCTATGTGTGTATGTGTTAATTGAGCCAAGCTCATGAGCTTTTGAGCCAAACTTTTTATGGGTTGAGCTCAAGCTTGAATAACTAATCGAGCTTACCTTAAGGTTCCAAATCGAATTGATCCTAAACAAATTCGAGGCCGAACTATTCGATTAGAGCTCGATTCAATTGCAACCTTAAATAAAGTTGCAAGTAGACCTCCTCTGGTAGAACCTTCTAAAAAATGACATAAAATGTCCAAAATACCCATGAAGTTACTGTTGAGATAGGTTTTTTAGGTAAAAAACAATACAAACTTTATGAATAACGAAAACAAAGAGAATTTGAAGTTGCAGCTTTACCATTGAACGAATGATATAAAAGCGTATTTGGATTGGAAGGGTTTGGGGTAGTGATTCATTTGAAGAGAAAAGTTGAAAAATAAACATTTTTGTTAAAAGTAATCACATGGGCATTTTGAATATTTTAATGGTATTTTTTAGAAAATTCTAAGAAGGCTCTACTTGCAAATTGCAACTATGTCGGAAAGTTTAAAAAAGGTGATTACAATTACCAAACTTCAAAAGTGATTTCAGCAATTTACCATCATTTGAATATCACACCATTTAATATTTTGCTCTGACTCGGTCCCGCATTTGACCCTTGAGGAGGGATAGAATGCGCCAATGCGGAATGGTAGACTCTCTGCTGGGTGAGCGTGAAGCCAGTTTAAATATCACTCTCTCAGACGCATTTCCACGATCAAATAAAAAAGAAAACAAGGATGACTCAAGTCTTTTAATCTGCACAAAATTAATTTTCTAAGTCGTCGATTTGAATTTTGCATGTTTGCTAACAGTTAGTGGTAGCCTGGTAGGATTATTTTTAAGCCATTATATTCATGATTACAATATCAAATTCATTTTTTAACATATAATAATCTGATTGCTTTTAATTTACTTATTAATGATATTCAATATAAATGAAGACCATCTGATATGAGTCCAATCTAAATTCCATACCTTGAACTCACATAGTAGCAAATCAATTTTGGATTTAGGTTAGATCTAATCATTCGTTGGCATATAATCATACATGCAGCAAATAAATTGAAGTTCTCCTCCTCGAGTAGCTTTTATTAAACTGTATAGAATCACCACCAGCCGAGACCCGAGATATATACTTGTACATATATATCAGCTTCTTGATACAGATAAGAGAATGAAACGTGGATGCATGGATATCCTAGTTAAGCCAGTAGTGGCCGTTGTTTTATTATAGTTCAGGCTTCAGTGAAGAGATTAGAGATGATGGAGCAGAGCATCATCTAAACGAAAGACCTTTGGTTATAGCAGTCGAGGTTATCACCATAGCTCACTCCTAACATATCGCAATATCTCTTATAAAACCCAATGCGGTCCTCAACTTGGGCAACTGTCCCTCTGCCACATTCATTTCCTCCGTTGATGATGTTGGTAATGACACCATACCCAGGGACTCGACCGCCAGCCGTGTCTGTAGCTGTTGGTGTCCATTGTCCGCTGATCACATCGTGGCATGAAGGTTTCGGGGACTGAGGGGTCATCCAGAACCAGAGCGCTGTCTTGAATGATATGGTTGCGTCCGTGGCAACCAGGTCTGGGTTGTTAAGGAGGTCCGACCCTATGTATCTTCCGGCTGGCCCGTAGTTGTAGTTGCTGCAGATGAGTCACAAGTTATTGTATTAGACGACTGTGCCAGTTGGGCTTAAATTTTCGGTGCTCGAGTTAGGTCTTATGCTTTTTAAAATTTTTGGGCTGGGTTTGGGCCTAACTCTTAGGAGCCCAAATCCGCCTCGACCTTATCCCAACCTGAGTCCCACCCAATTATATATATATATATATAATATCAATTTTTAGTGTGAATTAATTGATCAATCCATATCCAACTCGTGTGCATCAAATTTTAATACAGGTTGGACCATAGGGCTGAATAGATCGGTCTTGAGTCTTGACCTCAGATTCCAGTTAAACTTGGGCTTTAGGCCCAACTCTTTGGTTGAACTAAAACCCAACCCATACCACACGATTTGCACCCCTACTCAGGCTGAACTATACATAATACATATACAGAAACAGGCAGGAGAAGATGAATTAGAATAACGGCTTACTGTGAGATTTGGATGGGGCCTCGGCCGTAATACTTTTTGCCTGGAGCGCATGGCCACTGTGTGGAGGGACTACAGAAGTCACCGGGATTGTTCCGTTCTTCAATAAAGCAATACCCCCAAGCATAAGGGCCGTCTGGAGCAGTTGCCCATCCTCCTACGTACATAAACAAATCAAAGTTAATAGATGACCAACGCCAAGAATAATTCGTATTGATGTGTGGGTGTCAGTCACCTGTAGTTTCATGGGAAGTTTGACCCAAGAAAGCTGCAATCTCCCTTTTACGTGTATTGGTGTCGCCGGTCGTTGCGAAGCCGGTGAAGGACCGTGCAGCGGTTATGAAAGCATTGTAAGTGTAGAAACCATTAGAGCAAACCACGTCATTTCGATGCTTGAGCATCTCATTGAAAAGGGTCTCATTGATGAGGGAGGTCACGTCGCCGGATGGATTTGCCGGCGTTGGCGTTGGAGTGCTACCACTACACTGACTCTGGCAAGTATCCGGTCTACAGTAAGGGTAGGTGTTGCCACACCAGCCATATTGGCTACAACAGAGCCCCCCCGGACATAGAGCTCCCCCAGCTTGACGCCCACATTGTTCGGCCAACGCTCCAAACAATGAGGCCAAGGAGATGAGAAGCAGGATCAAACAGAACTTCATCGTGGAGTAGTGTTATGGCTCGGAAGGCACGACAGGATATATATGCAGTTTCTACTTTCTAGTGGAGTGTTTGAAGATTCAACAAAGGCAGGCGAACCAAGTCTGACAGACAAAACTTCAAATCTTTACAGGTAGAGCACGTTCTAATCGGATATGATGAGGAAACTCTGTCTGCACTTCAACGATGTCTAGATTCCCATTTTATTGTTTTTTAAATACTAATTGAAGAATGAACAATGTCAACTTTCCATTTAAGTTCCATGTGAATGAGTTGATTTGGGCACCAAGTCTTTTTTTATCCATCTTCTCTTTTGTATTGTAAAAAGAAATTAGAATGTAGTGGCACATACGATTCGAGGTCTGATTGAAAATTCTCGATTAGTACTCTACTTTGCGTTTAGTGTCACTTTGAATTCTCTAACTTTAAATGTTGACAAAAAATTAACAGTCTCAAATCTTTGCCTTTTTTATTCAAGAAAATTGAAGTCAATATTTGGGACTGCTAATTTTTTGAATAAAAGACACAAAGATTTGAGACTGCTAATTTTTTGTCATTATTTGGATGATTGATAAAGAAAATTAGATGACACTTAAAAGGCATTTGTGTCTTTTTCAAATGCCACTTAATATCATATTTTGAAAGTTCGAATACTAAATTATGGCATTTTAAAATTCAAAGACCAAAATAACACTAAACCCATAATAAATGTTACTAATCGGGAATTTTCCCTTTAACTTTACTTTGTCCATCGATTGGGGGTACTTCCTAACGTCCATTTCACTCTTTGATGACAATGATGAAAGACCTCTATCTATTTAATGAACCTTTCTAGATGTGCTCACTAGTCAAATTTTAAGAGAAAAATGGGACAGACAATAATGAAATGATGGAAAAAGGTAAGGCATTAGATGATTATATACAAAAAAAATGCATATAGTGTTAATGGCATGGTTTTCAATGGTTTTCGAGACCATGGTTTTCAAAACCAAACTGGGAACAAGTCACTTTTCCGTTTTCCTCAAAAACCGAATTTTCCCAAAAAATCAGCGAACCGATGAACTGGGTGGTTAATCGTTTAAACAATTTTGACCATATTTTAATTTTTTCTATTTTTTTGTCAGAGCAAGCCGAGCGTTCAGTTCGAACGGTTGGACCATTCAACCCAGTAATCGGACCCCTGATCGATTCAGTCACCGGATTGATTTTAAAAATCATGAATCAAAGAACCACTGACCCGGTCATCTAATCATTTGACTTGAGTGACAGTTCACGGGTTATTGTTAATTAACATAAAAATAGAACAAAAAAAAAGGATATTTGTGTCCCAATTGATCTATTAGACAATTTAGAGTGTTTTTCCGTTGCTTGCATCCTAGTTCATCCTATCACAATAGTTCCATTAGGATCATATGCCCTACCCTAAAAGTTAAAATCAATAGTGTGACATTGTTGAAGGACATTTTTGTACTGTTCACATTTATTAATAAAACGACATTTTTGTCATTCATATTTTTGATATTGCAATTTACATGAGTAGTCCAAAGCATCTAAGTCTAGATGCATGGTGTATTCTTTAAGTGCGTTAATAATTTTAAATATGCTTATCTTGGTTCAAGATACTTAAATGGTTCCTCCGTTCCTCAAAAGATCACCAAAAAAGCTTTGATGACCTGGATACAATGGCATATATTATGCTTGCCTCACAAACCTGATGAATCTCAAGTTACTTGTCTAGAAACATTAGAGAGAAAATATATAGATGGTTGTTAGAGAACAAATTCACTGAACTTTACTCATTAATAAAACAATTGCATGGAGTCTTTTGTCAATAATTAATTTTATCATCACAGTTATGTACCTAATCCTTAAACCTAAGGCATCATGGGTACCTTGTGCATGAGACTCCATAATTTAATGGTGTGAACACTTATGCCCTAGTCAAGGGCATAAGGCATGCATATATCTGCTATAGTGACTAATACATGAAGGTGTGTATGAATGCACAATATGAGATCTATCACTTTCAATGGGGATAAAGTGTTTTATGCAATGCAACTAGATTTTATTATGTGAGTCAAAAGTCATTAAGTCCTTAAGTTATCATCAATTGATCAGTGGGACATATACATGAGCCAAATGGGGTTTGACATAATCACCATGCTCCTTTGCTCTTTCAAGACATCGAAAGATAGAAGGATTCTACTACATCCTAACTGTGTATATAGAATGGTTCAATTTGCTGAATTCATGCTATTAGGGGTGACGGGATCTGCTCCTTACAAATGGGCGCCTCACATGCAAATCCACCGTGCATTGGGAACATCTTCCGTGAATAATAACTAATAAGTACGGGAGATGTTACCAATGTATGGTAGGATGTGGGTGAGGCACCAGGTGTGAAGAGCAGATCCAGTCTCCTATTAGGGTAATCATAACATACTGCTAGGTGTCACTCATAACTTATGGAACTTTTGTGAATAAATGAACCATTATTTACATTCAAGGGAGAATTAAAAGGGTTTTTAATTCAATTCAGCTGGAAAGAGTTTCACCTGGGATGCTAAAGTAATTTGGCACAATTTTCCACTATTACCTAAGAGGTTACATACATTAAGGGGCAAAACACAAACAAAGTATTTAGGAACCTAATTGTATTTAGGAGGAAATTTATGAAATAAGCTCTCCTAAATAGGAAAAGGAGTATAACTCTAAATAAGATTTGAATGGGATGGCCCTAAGGTTATCAAATACACTCTTCTAGTTAAATTAACCCTAATTATAGATTGTTAACACGTTCTTGTAGCCATCCAACTCTTTACTCTTCCTCTTTTCCTCTTTGATTGAATCTAAAGAAGGATTTTGGAGCTTTGTTCTATTGTTGCTCTATGTGGGCTACAATAGACGCTAAACAACTATGAGGTTGCAAATTTTAATTTTTGCTGCATAAAGATTTAAAAAGAAAACAGTATAATCTTTCAAGGTTCATTTGGTTTGTGATAGGATTGGAATGGGAATTGGAACTGGAATTAAAATCCACAGATATCAGAATTGGAATCACCTATTACCAACGTTTGTTTGGCTAAATTGGGAATTAGAATCGAATTTTGATTACTGTTGTTTGGTTCGTTTGGAGTTGGAATCAGAATCAACTAAAAATCTATTTATTATTTTATGAATATATAATTATTATTTTATTTATACTTTGTTATTAATATTTTATTATTACTTTAGTAATATTTATTATTATATTTAATTAATAATCTATTTTTTATTATTTTAAAAATAATTTATTATTATTCAATAATTAATATTTTAGTATTTTGAAATTAATTTAATTACATTATACAAATATTTTATTTGTACTTAATAATTATTATTATTTAATAAATAATATCTTTACTTTTACTATTAATTTTTTATTATTATCTAATTAGTATCCAATAATTAATATTGTAGTATTTATCATTAATTTATCAATTTTTTATTAATATATTATTATTTTCTTATTAGTTTATTAAAATACTATTGTTTTTGTTTATTATTTTAAAACTAAATTATTATTATTATTGAATAATTAATATTTTATTATTACTTCAATTATATTATATTAATATTTTATTTGTATTTATTTATTATTATGATTATTATTAATATTACTATGTACTAATATTTTATTAATAGTTTATTATTTTATTATTAATTTATTTTATCTTATTATTGTTCATTTAGTAATATTTTATTATTTTACTAATATTTCTTGATATGCTCTAGAATGGGAATCTCATTCGGTAGGGGGGAGGGATTTGGAATGGCCATTCCCCCATATGGGAGAATCCTATTCCACAAAGAATAGGAATCGGAGTCCCATTCCTTCCAAACAAACAACTGGAATCAAAATGAGCCATTCCAATTTTGATTTCTGGGACCTATTCTAGGCAACCAAACGGACCCTCAGTTCATCTTCCATCCTTTCTAACTTCTTCATTATTTAATCTTCTTTGAGATTGAGTAGTATAGTAGGCTTACAATGGCAAAATTTTTAGATTGCAACAAATTGATGGGTCCTTGCAAGTTGCAGCAGCGAGCGACCTTTAGGCTGTGTTTGGTTGCAATGCAAATAAAATTGCACTGGTGCAAAACTATGGCAGTGCAAATGGTTTGATTGTAAATTCTGACCTATTTTTGTTTTAAATTTTAGCTTATTTTGTTTGATTGCAGTAAAAATGAAGTAAACTAAGACATGGAGTAGAAGAAAGTAAAATCCAAAACAAAATTAAATGGGAATTTGCATTTTCTTCATCTGCACTCCCATGTATTTGTACTAGTACAAATAAAATTGCATTGCAACCAAACACAGCCTTAGGTTCATTTATAGGTTTTCTAGTTATCTATCTTTTTCTTCAATAAATTTCTTTGCTTCCCTCATTTTCTCCAAATTTTTTGTTTAAATTTCAGAATGCCTGGCTTACTTCTCTCCAGAGTCTAGGCTCAAGTCAATTTTCATAATCCCTGTAAGAAAGAATTTTTTCAATCCTTCTCCAATATCCGGGAAATCTCTAATTTGTCAAGATAAGAAAAAGCATTCTTTTTGTATATTACATGAGCCAAATCACTTTTCCAAATCCGAAATGTTTTCTCAACTAAACCTTTTCAGGGTTGTTCCTGTGTTTCTTCATCTCCTGTTATAAACCACCTTCTAGATGGGGATAACAATAATTGTGATGCGTGCTCTGTAAATAATTTCAAATTCAGTTATGATTTAGTATGAAGAATTTATTCAAGTTCTTTTGGTCATGTTGTAGGTATTTGTTTAATGGTGAAGCTGATATTTTGGGAACATTTTAGGTGGAGCCATTTGACCGAACAGTTGAACCGCTGACTCGAAAACAGGGGATCAGAAGTGGTTTCATTTGCAGGTCGTTTTCTAAAATCTACCTTATGATGTTTACCTTTTCCTGAATCCATAAGGCAAATTGCTTTATTCATCATGAAAGAACAT